ATACTTTATATAGTACCTATAATAATCAGCTTTAAGACAATATGACATTTCAAAACTTTGAACATAACATTAAGTTAAAGTTTTGAAATGTCATCAGAGGCACATATTAGGTGCGGTAAAAAAGTCGAAATTATGCGGTACCGCACCCGACTATAAAGGTAAAATGTGCGGTAAGGTGCGGTAAATTTTTACCAATTATGCGGCAAATGTGCGGCGATTGTTTCGAAATTTGTGCGGGAATTGTGCGGTTTTCTTTTGCATTTTCTCAAGGACTTTGGAAATTCTAAACGTATAACCGCCGCTCTTATCAAAAATAGGCCTGTTTATGTGTTACTAAGGGTGTAGTTCTTTACTAAGAGTAAGACCATGATTGAACCTATATTGAGATTCATTTATCTGAGAACAGTGACTTGATCTGATAGAGATCAGGAGACAGTTATTTGAAGACGCCTCTTGATAGAGTCGATCAGATCCCATGCGTGATCGCAAATATGTGACACGCTTGTTGGCATTGATCGTCAGTACTTGTGAACCATTTGATCCAAGATCCATTAAGCCCACTATAAAGCCAACGCTACATGACGTTGTGATGTGGTGAAGTTACGAATGATAACTGATACACTATAATCGAAGTACGGTAACGACGAGGGTTCCATAACGGCCTGGGTCACGGTCTCGAAAGGGCCTGGGTCACGGTCCCGAAAGGGCCTGGGTAACGGTCCCGAAAGGGCCTGGGTCACGGTCCCGAAAGGGCCTGGGTCACGTGGTAACCGGGTCACGTGGCCTAGGCATGAGTTCCAAAAGGGCCTAGGTCACGGTCCCGAAAGGGCCTGGGTCACGTGGTAACTGGGTCACGTGGCCTAGGTATGAGTTCCAAAAGGGCCTGGGTCACGGTCCCGAAAGGGCCTGGGTAACGGTTCCGAAAGGGCCTGGGTAACGGTCCCGAAAGGGCCTGGGTCACGTGGTAACCGGGTCACGTGGCCTAGGTATGAGTTCCAAAAGGGCCTGGGTCACGGTCCCGAAAGGGCCTGGGTAACGGTTCCGAAAGGGCCTGGGTAACGGTCCCGAAAGGGCCTGGGTCACGTGGTAACTGGGTCACGTGGCCTAGGTATGAGTTCCAAAAGGGCCTGGGTCACGGTCCCGAAAGGGCCTGGGTCAGGGTCCCGAAAGGGCCTGAGTCACGATCCTAAAAGGGCCCGACTTTAACATATTTTGGTTTTTACACTCGAAAATCTTAACGCGAAAATTTCAAAATTATGTGAAATTACGCGGAAAATGCTAGATTATGCGGAAATATGCAGAAAATTACAAAATGTGCGGAAAACAATAAATTATGCGGAAATGTGCGGAAAACGGTAAATTGTGCGATCCCGCACCCATCGCACCTAATATGTGCCTCTGATTATGTCATATTGCTGATTATTATAGGTACTATATAAACTGCCTGCCTCCCTGCTGGGCCAGGAAATTGGTTTTACTGCCTGTTCCTCGGAAATGTAGAAATGGTACCCACACCTTATATTGGCATCACGTCCTAGTTCATGCTTAAAGCATCAGTGATTTCTATCTTTATGGAAACCTTTTTTAATCAAACTACCCCAGTCCTGCATTTCAGTGTTAACTTTTACAAGCTATTCGGCGTGAAGTGGTTTTGTCTTAGACAACTTTAGGTTAACCTTAACATCACGTGGAGCTTTCCTAGCACTGTTCCATTACCTCCCCTGAAATGAACTATAACAACGTCGGACAATGTCCTTGGCAACAAGATTTACCGTAATATCTAGAGCTGCTGGAACAAGTTTGTCATGTTGGCGGGGACTAGCTCATGAACATAATTTCGGTGACTTCAATACTAGTACTGGTAGTATAGAGTTATATTTGTTTTAGAGAATATTTTAATGGTGTACAGACTACATAACAGTGTAAGCATAGGTCAAATAGGTCTCTATTGCCATATTGCTTCCAAAACGCCTGGAAGCAATATTGACATTTATAAAACATTTGAAAGTCTGACTGTGGCGCACAAAAAATCATTCCTACACCCCTATATTATTCGCTATTACATGAGTACATTGCGAAGTATCTAGGGGTAGGACAGGAGGAACTATTTTAGTTTTACGGGAAATTGAATAAAAAATGAATCAAGTTATCAAGCTTTCTTGGAAACACGTAGCACCAGTATACAGTAAAGACATAGCTAGATAGGTTTAAGTATAAGTATATCTTTCAAGTCATTATCAGGGTACCTATAACTACCACATCACGATTGAGAAATTTAATTATATCTCCCCAAGAATTTTACCTGGGGACCTCGAGGCTTCTTTGTTCATAAACAGATTGAATATATATTGGAATGACAATTGATAGGCCGAGCGCCGCCCAATAACAAGAATTTTGATAGTATTAATTTGTTTATAATGATATGCTCTCTCGTACCACAATTAAAAATAAAAAGTCTATTTATATTTTACTCTTAGTTCCCAAAAATTATTGCGAAAAAAATTTTGGCGGCTCTCTCGTAAATTATTGGCACATATAAATGTTAGCATTGCATTAACACTTTTATTTGTCACTGATATACTTAAATACTTTACATGTTACAATATACACGTAGTTAAACTTAACTTATTTTATGTCCAATTCCATTGGAAATAATTTTCAACCAAAGCCCACAATTGGGTAATAATATGCATGAAGTGCATGGAATGTAACAAAAGTTTCCTTTTTCAAAATAAAAGGAAATGATATCAATTTAAATTACCGTTTCTGTACTAAACGTGAAATGTTGCCGAAACGGAGAATGAGTCGGCCGTGAATGAATCAGAATAAGAAAAGCGAACGACTAATACACGACTAATGTAATACAAAACTGAAGTGTTTTTTTCATCTGGCATCCTGAGGATAGAAATATAGCCGCAGAGATATATGTTTATCTTAAAAACACAGTTTGTCCGCAGGCGCGCTAGGTTATCGTCAAGGGAAGCATTACGTTACCGTAAATGTTAACTTAACGGCTAGGAAAGATTCGTAGATTCATCTACTGGGTTACGTTTAACTTCCGGTTACCTGATTAAGATTTGTAATTGTATGAAGTCTTGGCCCCCATACCATTGTCGTGACCCCCATACCATCATGTCGTGACCCCTATACCATTGTCGGTCCACTTAGTTGTTAGTGTCGGAGTACAAACGCGTGAGGGAAAGTAAGATCATTTCCAGAAATCCTCTAGAAATTCCAGAAATCCTCTAGAAATTGCAGAATATTTAAGGGCTGTTCCACACCAATTATACAGTCTTAAAATATTTCTTGTTCCATTAAATCAATCAGTCGGCTAAACTAATTTATCATTCGATCCCACCGCCAGCTCATTTCCGGACTTGTGTCTTATTTTCAATTTTCAATTTTCTTCGCCCATTAAATTTTCCTGAACGTCACTTATTATTGACTTTTTCCGCCAAGTGATCATTAAAAACATCATGTACTAGTAAAGTTTTCTGTGCCCCCGGCAGACCAAGGAGAACCTTTCCGACGTTAACTTACGGCACAATAAGCTTATCATATAAGTTTTCATATATTCTGGACAAAAAGGTCGAAGAGGAAAAATTTTTGAAAAAAATTGAACGGACTTTAACTTGGACGGACCTTAAATGAACGGAATTTATTTCAACAGACATTAAAATGAACGTTAGGGCCTCCAGCGCTCAATAAGTGACATGTCCGTCCAAATAAGGTCCGATAAGGTAGTAATAGGCCCATAACAAAAGAAAAAACAGTGACTGGTCATACTAAGCCTCTATATTTAGGGTAATACTGTATCTGGAGGAGTAATTTTAGGGCCTACGAAATAATTTCTACCGGTATTTTGTCGAGCTGAACATCCTGCGGCTGCACCCTTTGAGTTTGAACTTTTTAAGTTCAAGTTCAACCAATTGAATAGTGGCAGTCTACAGGGTGAGTTGAAAATAGTGTGTGGAAAGTAAAAATCGATAATTTTTTTATGAAGGAGCAAGTTTTGAAAGGTGAATTGCTATCAGTTCATAAACTTTACATATTTCATTCTTGCCTCTCATTTGATTCTAACTCATAAATTGGTTGATTTTTGGCAGTTTTCCAAAAAATCTTAAATTCGTCCTAATGGGGTTCTCAAATCGTGTGCCCTGAAAATTGAGTCTAAAAATCTATACTCTCCTACATTTTTAAAGCAATCACCCTGAAACTTTCAGTATATGTTCTAAGGATCATTTAGAAGAGATGAGCCAGACAAAATTTTGAGATAGGCCTTTTAAAAAATTTTATTCGATTTTGAAAATCGTGGACCTCAAAAAATCATCAAAAAACGAGGTCCAAGATTTTCAAAATCGAATAAAATTTTTTTAAAGGCCTATCTCAAAATTCTGTCAGGCTCATCTCTTCTAAATGATCCTTAGAACATATACTGAAAGTTTCAGGGTGATTGCTCAAAAAATGTAGGAGAAAATAGATTTTTAGACTCGATTTTCAGGGCACGCGATCAAAAATTGCTCGCGCAATACAATTACCACACACGCGCTGACCTTTGACCGGCAATAATTTCGGCTAGGAACGATATTTTTCCACGGCATCAAAAGCATCTGATAGATATTACTCCCCTCTATCAGAAACAACTAACTAAAAAGTCGATTTTGAGAAAATTTCCATAAGACTCCCCTGCCCCCATAATACAGTCAAGTCGGCTATAGACAATTGTCTTACACGTTATCAATATGTCCTAGTTAATAAAGGACGATGGGTTGAGCAAATTATTAACTATTAAGTATTTTAATTGTATTATCATAAAAAGTATATATTTTCATTACCTAAATATGCAAAAGTTAAGTGGAAATTTCATTTGTCAAAAAAATTAGAGCCATTTACTTTCCACACACTATTTTCAACTCACCCTGTAGGTTCGAATTGGCTTAGTTCTAGACTCTAGTAGTAGTAAAAGAATTATGACGACAGTAAAATTAACAAGTCAATGCTTCAATTAATAAATCATAAAACAATAAATCGGATTGTACATTTTTTACATAGAAATGACAACGTCAAATATATCAATCTGAACACTTAAAATTTAAACCCTAACCCAAATAAATATTTCAGTTTTGCCGTTGCACTGATTTTATATATGCCGTATCTAATTTTTAGACTCAAAGTCAAGTGACTTAATAAGTTAATAAGTTAAAGAGACGACCAACTGATCAAGTGAAAAATACGACGAACTTTAGGTTTCTTGCTTGTGTACTTTTGACTCTTCACACGTTCAACAAAATGGTACTGTCTGTTCCTTATCATCATCTCATTCATGGATTAAGAGGAAGTGTTGTAAAAACACAAATGTCATCGTTAACAATATCATCAATTGCTATGCAGCGTGACAAGCAAAATATACAGATATAACCTATTTTGCATTTGAAATGCGTATTCAATAAATTAGATTTAGACTGATAGCAATAACATCAATGGGAGTTTAAACTCAGTTCGTTCATGGGTGCTCACTCGTCACGCGTGGTTGGGGATGGGGAAAATACTGTAGCCGACACTCATTGGTCGTTTATGGGTCTGAGAGAGAGGCAGAATGGGACCGAGTTTCATTTCCTTAACATCGATACTGTGGCTTACAACGCATCCTCCAGTCTCAACTCGCTGTATCGCACCACTGAAATAGTTTAAATGTCGATATATTTCTTTCTGTTTAATATTATCGGGCATCGCTAGCCCTGAGGTATTAACATAATTCGAAGTTACCCTTTGCGATATTAAGAAGTACAAACTAAAAATTACAAAAACATCAGATTCAACTACGAACAAACTTATTGAATCATGGTACTAACTGGAACACTTACTATGTAATGTTAGGACAGATAGTAACGTTGAGTCTTTGAAGAAGTTTGCAACCACGTCTCAGAACCGTAAAGCCTTGTCAGTCATGTTGGTTATGTTGGACATGTTTAGGTGGGACAAGTAGTGGCAACCTCCCGAGATATAAGACACACTCGTATCCGTCAACTAAAAAAAACATTTTTAGTTTGTAGGTTTACTTTTGTGATAGTACTGGTAGGGAACTATAGAGTTAACGTTCTTAATTTTATAAACCGTGTGTTGACGTACATTTTTTATTTGAAAAACGTATCCAAGTATGGTTCCTGGTACGCGTAATTCAAAATGAAGGTGTAAATATTATTGAAACTGTGCAAAAGGAAAATCAATTGACCTGAGTGCAGCCGGCTATGTTAAGCCTGACAAGTTCTCGACAGGAAAAGGCGAGGAATTTGGTGGCGTAATCAGTAACGTTCACACAGTAAGAGATGTCCAACGTTTCGAGAGAAGGAGTCTGAATTGGAAAAGTGGTTAGTTTATTAATACGTACTTCATATGAAATAAACTAATATAAAAACAGTAAAGACTTTAACACTAGGCCCTAGTATCTGTATAGGGGTTGGAATCGTCAAAGGATTTTGTCCGGGGTAAAACTGATGGCCTTTGTGTACTATTTATAATTTAGTGGTTGTTTAATCGAACTGAATAGTTTTGTCCTGCGAGGATGACCTTTCCGGACGACCCTAATACTGCTCTTCGGCAAACAATAGTTTTGAATAGCTTTGTTTCAACAATCTTTCACGATCAACCCAAATTGGAGAGATAACGGTGAGCCGTGAGGGCGCACATCGCAGATTTAAATTCACCTAACCATCAAAATATTTAGTTTTTAGCAATGACTATTGATTAAATTTATATTCTGCCCGGATGTCTTGGTAATGACCACTCTATCGTACCACTTGCACTGTATCTAGAAGTATATCGACTTATTAAAAGGGGCCTTTGTAGGTCATGACTCATGTCTATGACTATGAGGTCCACAGTGGTCCGCGAAGGGGGTCAGGCTATAATAGACCCCTTCTAGGTCATTTTGTTGTATCAGGAGATGTTTCCTGGAGTATTTTCCCCCGAAAAGACGTTTAAAAGCACTTAGAAGACCTCAAAATATATCAGAAGGGCTGAAAATGAGAAATGAAAAAATTTATTTTTTCCAAAAATACCCTGAAAATTTTAGAATTTGGCCGCTAAATTTGTTTAAAAAGCCTGACTTAAAATTCTACTCCATAACTTAAGTTTCTCAGGCAATTCTACGTTGATTCTGAAAATTTCATTAAAAAATATTGAAACCATATTGAGTTATATTATTTTGAGCGAAATCAGTTTCGCGAATATCGCGAACTGAGATATGGGCAATTTTGTTCTTTTTTGCCATTATTTGAACACAGAATCCACAGTTAGGTATATATTGTGCTGATATTCATAGAGAATGTGAAGTATAGGCTTACCTAACATATAAAATTTGTCTCATCCAAAAATATTGATAATTGGCTAAGTTATGGGCTAAAATCTATAAAAATTGGCGCGTATGCCCAAATATGGTCATATAGTATTTTGCTCATAACTCAGCCAATTTTTATCAAATTTTGATAAAACTTTATATTTGTGTTCAGGAGACTAGTAGCTACAAGTAAAGCACCCCAAAGCATGGTTTTGAGCATGTTAAGGCGATTTTGCATAATTGGGATAATTGGGACCAAACAGCTTTAACAGTTTAATGAGTACCAATTATAATTAAAATCATCACCGTTCTAGAACAATGCCTATAATGAGCCTTACGTTATTCTTCTCAGCTATTGTGATCGGATATATCTCTCTTAAGCTGTTCAGTTCCTGTTTGTCATTTGCTGTTCCTGTATTCAGTGGCGTAACGAAAGGCCCTGCTGACCCCGCTGTGCAGCGGGGCGCCGTCTTAGGGGGGCGCCAAATCGTCGTTTGAATGTGGGACAATTTCGAAAACTTAACTAAAGTACTAGCAAAACTGGGCGTTTTGCTCTAGATACACACTTTTTTAGAGATTTTACCGGCGTATTCTCTAAAATCACCTAATTCGTTCAATTTTAGGGAGGGGCACCAAAAGGGGAGGGGGCGCCAACAGGGGGGCGCTTTTTTCGGCAGGGGGGCGCCAACAGGCAACGTTACGCCACTGCCTGTATTTCTAGTTCTAAATCACAGTCGAAGGTCTACAGTGTGTCGTGTAAAAGTTTTGTTTTTGTTTTCCTCGATAATTATTTCAATAATTTTGAGACAATTAATTATGAGCGAGTAGATCCGATTCTGGGCGTCATGGTCATTCCGTCCCCGCTATGCTATTATGTTAGTGTCAAAACTAAGGAAAATATCAGTAGATAACAAACCTGGAGCACATTTTCTGGATACCAACATCCGTTATTTGGTTGCACTCTGAAAGGGAGATGTTCCTGAAGTTGGGGTTGTTACCGAGCGATGCTAAACCGGCGTCACCTACAGCACAACCTGAAATAACGACAGAGATTCAACACACAAATGGTGAGAGATCAAAGACAAGAACTTATGCCATTTGAAGTACTGAAGAAAAATTAGATTTAGATTTAGATTTGAAAAATTAATGTACTTTAGTTAGCTAGAAGTGGAAGAGTAATTGTTACCTGAAAGATCCAAAGATCTGAGAGCTTGCATGTTCCCCAGCAACTCCACCCCAGCATCCGTGACAAACTCGCTGTAGCAGAAACTAACGTACGCTAAATTCTGGCACCTGAGGAGGAATATTTTACTTTTCTCGCTCGTATTTATTTTACTCGTATTTATGTAAAGTAAATGCTGAGTAAAGGTTTTTGGTTTAAGCGTTCACAAGTTTTATAGGGAAGGCAATAATTCGTCACTATAACAGTGCAGCTATGTTTCAGGTTATATAGTATAGTTACTAGCAAGGACCGAGATCCCCCCTTTTGTCTGGTTCCGGGCAAAAGACCAGGTAGTTTCGATGAGGCCTGGCATGTGGGTCTGGATGTGCTGGTTGGTGGTTCCCAGTGTGGTGTGTGCTGAGACTGGGGTGGATGGCTGAAGCCAGGGGACCGCTGTGCTGAGTGGCGAAGCTGGTGGTCGTAACGGAGGCAGTCCACATTGAGCACCCAAGCGACGAAAGTCGCTAGGTAGCTCGTGGGGATAGCATCCGGGTCGATAGCTGGCGGCGTTGTCTTAGCATGGCGTGACACTGGGTGTAGGCACTCTGTTCTGGGCTCGCATGCATCGCGTCAGGGGGCTTGTCGGCTGGGGCGTCTGTCACACGTGTAGGTACTTATTGATTTAAAGTACAGCGGCAGAGTCAATCCTGAGCACTAGAGCACCACTTATGACTCTGCCCATTTGCTCTGGAGTTACTGCCCAGGACCCAATCCTATCCTGTTTCTCTCACCTATAGTGATTGGTAATGGTGCTTTATCCAAAGCAAATGACCTTGCCGTGGTAAGGGGGCTTAATCGGCATCACAAGACCAGCCGAGACTAAGCTGTACTGTTCAGCTGAGCAAAACTGAACGTAGGTCGCACGTGCCAACCGTCTTCCTTTACCTCATTTGATCCCTTTTTCTTTTGGAGCTCTCACAGCCTTCACTCACACCTGAGCATATAGGGTTTTAGAAGTTCAGGGTGTGTACTTCAAGGTCGGGCCCTTAATACCGATCATTAGCACCCGTTTTACCTTTACCTTATTAGCGGCATATCATTACTGTCGCGGTAGTAAAACAAACATCTTTCTACGATTCGCAGAAAGTGTTAAAACTCTCACTAATACACTTGGACTACAACACCGGATTACCAGTGGAGGAGGCAGGACTGAGCTGGCCTCGTGTGGGATTGGCACACTTGCGCAGGCTTCACAGCCTTGCTGCGATGGTGCTGGTTCCTATCGGGGCTGTGCTCGTTCAGCAACCACCAAGGAATCCACCACTACTACACCTACACTACAACACCGGATTACCAGTGGAGGAGGCGGGACTGAGCCGGCCTCGTGTGGGATTGGCACACTTGCGCAGGCTTCACAGCCTTGCTGCGATGGTGCTGGTTCCTATCGGGGCTGTGCTCGTTCAGCAACCACCAAGGAATCCACCACTACTACACCTACACTACAACTCCGGATTACCAGTGGAGGAGGCGGGACTGAGCCGGCCTCGTGTGGGATTGGCACACTTGCACAGGCTTCACAGCCTTGTTGCGAGGGTGCTGGTTTCAATCGGGGCTGTGCTCGTTCAGCAACCACCAAGGAATCCACCACTATTACCCCTATACTACAACTCCGGATTTACAAAACAATCATGACTGATAGCGGTAATGAGATGTATCACACAGATGAGACATTGATTTTCGCAGAGCGGATCAGGTTTCCTGATTTACGTTTAACATCAGACATTATTGTGATTAAAGGACCTATTTCAACAACATTGCGCGGGAACGCGCACATAATCTCCCATATACTGATACACAACAACGCATTATCTCTCAATCCTACCCCACCGTGGAATAGGATACAGATCACCAACATCTGGGAGGCAGTGGCTGTGCAGCTACATGAAGGTGGGGGCCCGTCGACGGAGTTTAAACAGAGGCAGCGGATCTGGGTGGATGTCTCACCTTCGGGTGAGACATTCTTAGAGAAACACAGTTTTCTCCCGGAAACGCTGGCTGCTGCTATTCGACTTCGACCAGCCCCCCGACACAGTGCCCAATCCAAAAGGTCCTAGTACCCGACCGGTGAGGGTAACTGCAGGTGCTGCACGCCACGTCCCCAATACCAAAAAAACAGGTAAAACTCATCATGAATATTACTCTGTTACTCAAATCAACCTTAAACGCAAGTACAACGCTTGGAAAACCCTGCTGGTGAACACTCATGGCAGGAAAAATCCTATTGTACTAGCGACTGAACCATACACTAATAACAAACACCTAATTCCACCAATAAGCAAAGAACTAACCGAGTATTATTACAAAGTTGGGGACATTAGGCCCCGTGCCGCCATAGTAATACACAAAAACCTAGCTGAAAAAAGTTGGGAACTATCGCAATTCACAACCCCGGATCAAGTTGCTATTAAGATTCAACTTAGCTCGACAGAAGTAATTCTGGCAGCTTCGTACATGGATATTAATGGACCAGCTCCATCCCACGAAACCACACCTCTAGCCAAATACGCTATAGACAACAAAATACCACTCATAATAGGCTCTGACACCAACTCCCAACACACTCTTTGGGGTAACAGGTTGTGCAATAGAAGAGGAGAGGAACTACTTGATTTCCTCTCGTCGCTAGGGCTCTCCTGTTCCAACAAAGGTTCAACTCCAACATTCCTCAACTCACGAGGTCATAATTCCATCATTGACCTCACTATTACCAACCAACTGGGGGCTGAACTGATCAGTAACTGGCACGTTAGTGATCTTTACTCAAACTCCGATCACAGATATATCATGTTCGACATTACTTCTGGTCCCAAAAAAGAACCAAGACAAATACGCCTAGTCAAGAACACTGACTGGGCGAAATTTGACGAGATTCTTTACAACAACAATGATCTCCACAACACCTGCGTTAACACACCACACGACATTGATCACAAAGTTAACACCATTAATACTGCTCTCCGAGCGGCCTTCGAGGAGGCATGTCCCATTACTTACATCTCCAGCGCTGTCAGAAAACCACCCTGGCTAACTCGAGAAGTTGAGGAAGCACAGAGGGGTATAAGACGCAAACTCATCACAGCTCGTCGAATCAAAACTGATGCTTCGTGGCTCGCTCTTAGAGAAAGCAACAAGCAATACAACAAGATCCTGTCCAACTCCCAGCGCAATGCGTGGCGGAAATTCTGCGCAGACACAGAATCGGTTAAGGAATCTGGAAGGATGAACAAGATTCTGAAAACCTGTACTGACACCAATAACAAACTTGAAGCCGTTTATAAACCAAATGGCGAACTCACCAAAAACGCAGAGGAGACACTGGAGGTCATGACACAAACCCACTTCAAGGATAGTGTTACTGATCCGCCAGTTCCGCCTCTCTGCCCCTTACCCATCTCCACAGACTTACTAGACAAAATCTACAGCCCTGAAAGAATCGAAAAGGCTCTCCTATCCTTCGATCCCTTGAAGGCTGCAGGACCTGACACTCTAAAACCTATCATATTCCAGAAAGCCTGGGCTCATATCAAAGACATAACAAAAAACATTATGACAAAAAACCATGAAACGCAACACATCCCAACTTTGTGGAGGGACTCTCTTGGAATCTTTCTCCCTAAGCCTGGAAAAACCGACTACAACAAAGCTAAGTCATTTCGAACGATCACTCTTTCGCCTGTGATGTTAAAGTTGCAGGAGAAAGTGATCTTATGGCATATGCAACATGACCTTAACATAGCTAATGATATCAACAAACGACAATTCGGCTTTAAGAAGGGCTGCTCCACAGAAGCGGCACTTCATAAAGTTACTCACACCATTGAGCGCAGAATAGCCAAGAAAGGATATGTCCTAGGTGTCTTTCTAGATATAGAGGGCGCCTTCGACAATGTCTCGTTCAAGGCTATCTCTGAAGCAGTCAAGGCTACGAAAGTGGACTTGGCTACAGCGCAGTGGATCATCAACATGGTAACCAATCGATTCATCACACTAAATCATAAGGATAAGTCGAGAAGGGTACGGATCAGGCGAGGTTGCCCCCAAGGAGGCATTCTCTCTCCTTTTCTCTGGAACCTGGTAGTCGACGATCTCCTTTCCTTTACCGCAAAAGACATCCCGGGTTACCTGCAAGCCTTTGCGGATGATCTGTTGTCTCTAGCGGAAGGGGATGATTTAGACATCATCTGGGACCGAACATGCAAAACTATTAAAACGATAGAAAATTGGTGCAGAACCAAAGAGCTATCTATTAGCGCCCTTAAAACTCAGATAGTCATGTTTACCTGGAATAGTAAGTGGACTCTAAGACCTATAACAGTTGGCAACAACATTATAGGTCTTTCCAAGTCTGCTAAATTTCTAGGAGTGACCTTGGACAGCAAACTCAACTTCAATGAACATATCATCAACACCACCAAAAAAGCCACGGCATCCCTCATGCAATGTCGAAGAGCTGTCGGCCCCACATGGGGTATGAGCCCCAAAACATGCAAATGGATGTACACGGCTGTCATCCGTCCAATCCTATCCTACTGCTGTAGTATATGGATCAGGGCCACTCAAACGGACTATAACGCGAAGAAACTCAAACGTGTTCAGGCATTGGCACTCAGAATGATGTCTGGTGCCATGCCAAGCACACCTTTTATCGCATTGAATCACCTCACCGACACTTCTGACATCATACTGTTCCTGCAAGGCGAAGCAGCAAAGGGTGCGGCCAGGCTACAAGCTTATGGCAGCCTCACTCTTGAAACTATCGCCTTCAGGAAGGGAACTATCAAAAATCATACCACTATCAACAAACAATTCATGGCAGATCTCATTATTCCACCTAGAGCAACGAGAGACCTAACAACACCAACCATGATGCTGGGACGGCACTTCACCGTCACAACTCCTGGAGCCGATAACACTGAATATAGAAATTCACTTCAAAACACCATTGACAACATTACCAGTGAAACGATCACCTGCTACACTGACGGGTCACTCACAGACTCAGGATGCGGGGCTGGCTATATCATCACAACTGACAACAATAACACCACCCTTGAAGAAAGATCATTCAAGC